TTTTTTTATTGTGATGTACAGAGGGGTAACAGATTTTATCACCTGCTTTTTTCAAGTTGTTTTAGACCAGCTGGAAGCCTACTTGTCCCCCTCTAAACTTCCTTCTATATGCTCATACCCTGTGATGTGGCATCATCAATATTGCACAAACCAAAGGTTGGGTAAAAGCCCATACAAAGGAAGTTCTTTGTTGTTTCTACTTTTTTTTTTTTTCTGTTTAGCAAGTGCCCAGAAGGATTCTTACCACTAGCATAGGAGTGATAGGGGAGAAGCAGGCAAGATGAACAGAAAGGCAACAGGGAAAAGTGAAGAATGGGCGGTGGCTCCAATCCACCACAGCTCAAAAGTTGGGAGGGCAAGCCAGAGCCACAACTGCAAGGTAAGTCAGAGGGCCCAGGTGACAGACTGACAGCTGTGTGAACTAAGCCCAGTCTCCCTGCCAGCCTTAAAGGACTTAGCATGACAGTGACTATTCCTGTGTGACAGATCAACACCGCTGAAGAAAAACATGCAGCTCCTTGGATCTCAGAAAGCCACGAGGCAGGTGTCATCTTGAGAAGAGACCTATTGTTTGAGACTCCAGTACCTGAAAATGAGAAGTAATCGTGGCTTGGGGACTGTATACCCTTCACCGTGCACACAGGGGAGACAGCTGGCAGGAGTCATGGAGAGGCAGATGGTCTGACTTCGACACTGGGACTTTAGGCCGCGGGGAGTTTGGTTGGTGAAGGACACGGTGGTGAAGGGAACTTTCTTTCTGGTGAGAAGTGAAACAGTACTGCAAGCCTGTGGCGAGCACGAGGCTTGGGCTCTGCCTCCCAGCTGCTTGGAGGTTATTCTCAAGCAGGATTAAGAACTCTGGGTCTGGTCACGTGGACCACATCATTTCCCCAGCCTGGTCCCTCCCACAGAGTGGTTAAGTGCTGGGCAGAGCCTAAATACACTGAGACCCACAGAGTGTCTGAGGCCCCAAGTTCTTCCCCTCCATTCTAGAACTACTTGCTCCCTCCCAAACACTCCTGGATGCTTTTGGGAAATACTTCTAGGCCTGGAAACTTGCTGCCCCTAGGAACACAAACTCGGGGGCATTTGGAGCAAATGGAACCTGCCTGGATCACTGGCCAGCTGCTAGTTCACAACAAAGAGAAGCTTAGTAAAGTAAAACCAGACCTAAAGCAGACAAGTGATCCCTGGCCCTCAATCCATACACAGAACCATCCTGTACATTAGGAACTAGAAAACACTCCAGCTAGACTTTCTCTCTCTGAATGATGCTGGGAAATTGGGCCTGGTGCCCTGAGCACACTGCCCAGCTATATCACACAGCTGAAGCCATGGGATGCAGATCCAGGGCACACCCACCCAGCCACTGCCCAGTCCAGCCTAAGCATTGGCAGTACTTCAATTAAAGGACTACAGGTGACCAAAACCCTCCCATCAACACTGGGCCTCGGATATACTCAGTGTAGAAAGACCAGGAATGGGAAACGCAAGGCAACATGACTACGCCAAAATGCAACTATTTCACAATGTTAGCTATATAGCTATTACACAGAAACTTCATTACGTTAAAGTACATTCTTCCGATTCTAGTTTGTTCTGGGATTTTTTCATGAAGGCATATTGGATTTTGTCAAAGGCCTTTTCTGCAACTGTTGAGATAATCGTGTTATTATTTTTGTCCTTTATTCCATTTATGGGCTGTACTGCACTTGTGGATTTGAATATAGAGAACCACTGTTGCCTCAGTGGAATGAAACCAACTGGATCCTGGTATATGATCTTAATGTGTTGATGAATTCCATTTGCACATATTTTTTGAGAATTTTTATGTCTATATTCATCAAAGAAATTTATAATTTTCTTGTCATATCTTTATCTTGTGTTACTATAATGCTAATGCTGGCTTCATAGAATGAAGTTCCTTCCCTTTCTATTTTATGGAATAGTTTAAGCATTGGTGTTTTTCTCTTTAAAGGTCTTATAGAGTTCATGAGGGAATTCATCTAATCCCTGGCTTTTCCTGGTTGGGTGATACTATAACATAGTTACAATATTATTGCTCTATATAGATCTATTGAAGCTGCTGCCATTCTCTTGATCCAATTTTAGTAGGCCATATTCACCTAGAAATAAGAACAGGGCCTTAAGTTCAATCTATAGTACAAAAAAAAAAAAAAAGAAGAAAAAACTTGATTTGAAAGCTTCATCAATAGACTGACCAAGTTGAAGATAGAATATCAAAACGTATAAAGAACTCAAACACCAACAGCAAAAGAAAAATAATGCAATTAACCAATGGGTAGATGAACTGAACAGACATGTACCAAAAGAGGCAGTATGCATGGTTAATAAAAGCATGAGAAAATAGTCTACATCCTAATCCATAAAAGAAAGTTATAGTTTTGACATATTCAAAATGATGTCTCAACTAAAAAATTTTACTGTTCTTACTGCTTAAATGAAAACACTACACACAAAGTTTAATGTGTTAGCCATAGATCAGAAAGAGTTAAGTGGGGGTTGAGATCATGGCTGAAGTGGTAGGCCTCTTGCCTCAATAGAATTAAGTGGCCCTGGTTTCATATATCCAAGTTGACTTTATGTGTAAGTATTCAAAAGATCCAGAAGGTGGCAGTATACTGATGTTTTTTTCTGAGTTTTAAAGTTAGAAGAGGGGGAAAAAATCTCAAAATATGAAGATTGCTGCCACTTTTACTTTCTCTTTTCTTCAGGAGCCTCAAGATCACTTAGTCTAGAGCAGCAGAGCCATAAGGAGTAAGAGAAGAGGACCTCACACGGCCAGGAGATAGGAATCTTGAAGAAGTGGAACACATCTGACACAGGACTGTCTCCAAAATCAGCCTGCTGGGCATTTCTTTGTAAGTGAAATTTATCTAACAACATTCATGCCCCCCCCAAAAAAAAGCAAATTAAGATAAAATATAAATGTAAGCAGCACACGGGAACACTAAGAATGTATATAATGATCACTCAAACTAACACTGTTCCCTATAGAACTCACATTTAGAAATTTACATTTAGGAACAATGTATTTAAAGGCCTCTTAGGAGAAAGGCCCTGGCACAATATCTTGCAAAAGATTAAAGAGAGAAATAGGAAAGTTTCCTTCTTTAGAAATGGTGAACTACCCGCTTAAACAGGTAACAGTGCAGGGTAGAAGAGAAAAGAGAGGGAGGGTGAAAGACACAGAGATAGACAGAGACAGACAGAGATCTGAGGGATGCTTGTCTCAAAAATCTTCACCTAAACTAAAACTCAGCCAGGTGTGCTAATGCATGGCTGTAACCCCAGTCCTCAGGATGTGGGGGCAGAAGGATCATGAGTAAGCGCTTGTATCTGAACAGGGGGGCCAGAGCATCCACATGCCCACCCATACAAGACAATTACATAGAACTACTGAAGGGACTGCGCGTGATTTCTGTGTGTAAAAGCCTCTGTAGAGTGTGCGTTCAACCACTGTCAGGTGGTTGCTAAACCACCCCAGGTGTTTTTAGCAAACAACCTCTCCTCTTAGTGCTCTGAAAAACAAAGAAAATAAAGTCCATTAAGAAACAAGTCCCAAGCCGGGCGCCAGTGGCTCATGCCTGTAATCCTAGCTACTCAAGAGGCTGAGATCTGAGGATCACTGTTCAAAGCCAGCAGGAAAGTCTGTGAGACTCTTATGGCTAATAAACCACTCAAAATCCGGAGGAAGAGGCGCTGTGGCTCAAGCCCTTAAGAGCTTGCCTTGAGCTGAAGAGCGCAGGGACCGCTCCCAAGCCTAGAGTTCAAGCCCCACGACCGAAAAAAAAAAAAAAAAAAAAAGAAGCAAGTCCTTCCTGCTGGGTCCTCAAACCTGCCTGCCTTCTATTTCCATACTGTACTCCATCTGACTGTAGAAAAGTAGGACAGATATTAAAGGCATGTAACAGTCAAACCCATCTTTGGGTGTTATTTCTCACCCAGGGGCCTATGAGTGGGGGTGGGTCTTTACTAAGATAGGGGACGGGAAGCCAGAGCCTGTCAAATGCAACAGCTCAGGATGTGAACTTGCTCCCCCTTCTCTCTGCCTCTATCATGCCCTGCTGTGGGCCTGTCCCTCCCTCCCCCTCCCATTCCCCAGCACACCTGCGGCCCATTCCACTCGCTGATCAGGAAAAGCACTCCTAGCTTCTCCCTGGAAATGGTGACTTCCTTTTTCAACATCCAAAGTGGTGCACCTTGCTCTGTACTTGCTTTTTTATGTCTTCTTCAGCCCTTTGTAAATAGTCCCTTTATTAAATTATCCTCAAATCTTCTAATTTGAATAGATCATATGTGTGTTGACAGACTCAAAACCCAGACTAGTTCTGAGTCCACTGGTGGTTAAGTACCCACCGATGTCTATTCTTGAAGAACCCAGAAAGGTTTCAAGAGACATCAATGCATATTTCAAAAGTTTAAGCACAATTCAGCTGAGGAACTCTACTTTCACACCAAAGATTTTGTTGTTATTAAGTAGAAGTTGTTGTCATCCTTTCTATTAAACTGAAGGGCTGAGACAAAAATTCACAATTAAAAGTTCACTTCTTTTCTTTCTTCATCCTTACAATAACCACCAGAAGATTAAACACTTTAAAAGCACTTAATGTTGATTGCATTATACAAATGAAGGGTATCTACTGTGGCCCAGGTGGACTTTGATCCTCTGGTCTCAACTTCCCAGTTGGTGGGTTACAAGCACATACGAACACACTCAACCTGAAGTGGCCTTTGTTAATAGTTGACATCATTTCAAAAATGTAGTTAAAAAGCCAGGCACTACTGGCCCCTACCTGTAATCCATGCTACTCAGGAGACTGAGATCCTGAGGATTGTGGTTTGAAGCCCACCTGGGCAGAAAAGTCCCAGTGAGACTCTTATCTCCAATTAATCACTCAAAAACCGGAAGTGGCATTGTGGTTCAATTGGTAGAGTGTTAACCTTGATCACAAAGAGGCCCGGGGAAGAGCACCCAGGCCTTGAGTTCAAGCCCAAAAACTGACCAAAACAAAACAAAACAAAATGTAGTTAAGCTTCACTTCATCATTTTGAATTGGATATCTTTCTACATAATGCTACTAGCATTCTACATATTTAGAATATGCATTTAATAAAATTATAAATTCTATGATGCAAATTCTTTCAAACATTACAATACTTTCTATAAACTTTGTAAAATCATCCTTTTTCATTTAATTTTAAATCTAAAATTAAGCAGCAAATGATATATTTTTAATAAAATGTACTCATTATGTTCCTTATGTAACTATAAAAAGACATTAATAATATATCAGATCCTCTCATGCCAAATTTTCTTAACTATTATAAATATGAAACATATAGCAACCATTTTTAAAGTTAAGGCAAAATAACTACTTTTGTTGCTTGCTACTCATGGCTATAATAGTGAAATGAGTTTTATCAACCAAGCAAATTGGGATTATCAAACAAGCTGAGTTTTCTAACCATCTAAGCAGGGGTACCTGCTGGATGGTAGAAATTTTTGAGCAAGCACTGGAGCAGCCATCATTTTATGACAAACTTTTCTTTATAGTCACTTTGCAATAAGAGATTCTTAATTCCATTCTTTCCCAAGTGGTGCTATGTCCTGTCTTCCATTTCTGGATTCAATTTATGTATTATCTAGTACACAAGGCTAGATTTAACTGATTTACTTATTGTTTGATCTTAATTATTTTCCTGGTTTTCCTTTAACAATGTCTTGGCTTATCTTTTTGTGTCATTCAAGTAACATTAATCTTTTGCCTTTACCACAACTCTGCTTTCGATTATTATATAGGAACCACCTGGGTTTAACACTTTTCCTAGTTGTATGGAATGTCTTCAATGCTTTCCCATCCTCTTGGGACCTGCTCTTGTCTGGTTTGCCTTGGCCTGTGAAGGACTGCTCCAGGATGACTTGTGTTGAACGGATCTGGGTTGAGAAGTCTTAGATTGGGCACGCTGGGACTGACAGGGCTTGGGCTGTGGGGGTTTGGATGGAGAGGGTTTGGCTTGGGAGGACTGGAGCCAATGGGCTGTAGAATGAAAGGGTTTAGCTTGGGAAGACTGGGACTGAAGGGGCTTAATTTGAGAGGGAACAGGTTGGAAGGGTTTGGGCTGAAAGGGTTTGACCTGGGATGATACGAGCTGATGGGGTTTGAATTGAGAGCTGGGTAAAAGTTTACTCCTGGGTATGGAATGGGATCCTGACTGGAGAACTGGAGTTGAAGGCCTATTCTGTGTCATCCTCTGAGGTCCTTGAAGAAAAGTAGGCCTGGCCAGTTTTTGTAGGGCTCCTGCTGGCTTACAGGATTGAGGGTGAGGAGATGCGATGTGAGCTGATGTGCCCATCGGCTGTGTTCCCGGGGCACATGCTCGCCCAGGCGGTGGTTTCCCTACTGCTCCTGCTGACGGTGAGCCTGTAGAATGGGGGTCCCCTGCCTGGGAGACCCCAGGCTTCCTCGGAGCTCCTGTGATCCGTGGTTTCCCACCCAGGGCCCAGGCACACTGAGAGATGGAATTTGGTGGTCTCCCAAATGTTCCATTCAAGTGACGTCCCCATGGAGTTCTTGATAATTTCATGGATTTTTCACCTGAATAAGATTTCTGAGGTTGGAAGGATTTAATACCAAAACTTTTAGCTCTTCTATGAGCACTTCTACTCTGAAAGATCAAGGGCCAAAACCACCTAGGCCTGTGCTCTGACCCCAACTTGGAGCCCATAACCTGTGGGGCTTTCAAGGAAATACAGTTAAAGTTACCTCCCACTGGGGTTGGTAAGGGAGAGTTTTCCTGATGAGATGGAAATACTGGAGCAGACGACACATTTTGAATGTTCTGGCTGACCTCATGTATAGACCCAGATTTTCCCAAAGGTATCTGAGCTTGGCTTTCAGATGAACTTTTTAGCTGATTACATTTTTGTTGTCCCTCATCTTCAGCTGCTCTAGCTATATTTTCTCTAGGGGACACTTGAATCCCTTGATCAGTTTCTCTAGGAGACACTTGAATCCCTTGTTCAGTCTCCAAGTCTTGGTCGACCTGAATCCCCAACTCCCTGGCCAGAGAGGCCATCTCCTCCACAGACACGCATCTAAGTGAGGAGGCCGTCACTTCCTGGAGGGCAGCTCGAAGGGCCTCCATGTTCTTTCTTCTATCCCCTGATTCCTCCCCCTCCCAAAACAATAGCTGTGACGACTTCAAGTTCAGCATCCTTTGGAACATCTGAGCCTCTTCACTCTCTCTGGCCTGGGGACTGAGAACAAAATAGCATCTTTCAATGGCAATTTCTCCTAAAAACATTAACAAGTCCCATTGCTTCTCACCCAGGCTGTCGGTGAAAAAAAACACAGCTGCAGAAACTTCCATCACAAAACTAAACTGTGTCCAAAAGCGTTCTAGATCTCCACGAAGGTTGGTCACGGCAAAAGGCTTATGGGAAATATTAAGGCCTTCCTTCAGATGATCGTTATCAGGAAAACACCAGGTTATCTCAAGCAGGCCATCCGAGATTTGCCTGGGAAGTACGGGAACAGACACATCTTGATGGAGGAAGGGTATGTGTGGTTTCAGCTGGTCAGAGCTGAGCAGTGTGTTGAGGATTTTGGACTTGGAGAAGCTACAGTGTCCCAGGCGAACAAAAGAGACGACAGGCAGCTTCATAACTCTAAGAGACTCCTGCCTGGCCCCCGTGGGTCCTACTGAGGACTGTGTAGACTGCCTCTCCACAACGTCCTCCATGGCCCCCAGCATCAGGATGCTTTTGTTGTTTTCTGAATCTGGAAGAAGCAGGGGAAGGGCAAACTGACACTGATACATGTTTGACATGACTTGGCGCTGCAAAGAGCTGTCTGCACACAGCAGGCTGGCACAAAGGACATCGAGAGGATTCATGGTTGCTGTGTCTTCCATTTCCAGATTTTCCAGTCTAGTCAGCAATTCCTCTTTGCCGACTTCACCTGGAATCTTGTGCCTGAGGACTGAATCCCTGGCCGTCACATCAAGAGCTTGCACTTTCGTCAGGAAAGTCCAGACCAAGTCTGCCGGAGTCTTAGGTGTCCAACCACTGCCTCGATCTAAGGAGAACTGTTTCACAAAATCTGGCAGAAGCTTTCTGCTTCTATCCATGTTCAAAGAGGACAGGACATCTTTGAACACCTTTTTATTTTCTGTAAAGGAAAAGATATTCAGTGAATGCTATGCTTAGAATCTAGTTTTCTTTCACTACCATTTAAAATTAAAGCAAGTGAAATTTTTACAGCAAAAAGCAGAAGTAATATAAACCAAGGGAAAGTCGCATTTCACCACTCTACCTATCAATTTTGCATGTTCAAGGTAGAACAGTATACTTGCTGCACGCACTTCTTTATGTGACAATACAATTAGTCATGCTTATCCAGAAAGATATAGTTTTTTTTTCCTCAGTGGATACTTTTATTTTTACATAAACAATAGCAAACTAAACAAATGATTTATTTTTGGAAAGAGAGGTATGGCTCAAGTAGTATAGTGCCAGCTTTGAGGGGGAAAAAAAGTGAGAACAAGGCCTTGAGTTCAAGCCCCAATACCAGCACAAATAGGTACGTAGGGTAGGTGAGGGGCACAAATAGGTAGGTAAGGGCCCAGAGTTCAAGCCCTGTGACCAGCACACACACACACACACACACACACACACACACACACATGCACACGCACTAAAGATTTTTGGTAAACTTCCAGAAGCTAAAAACAGGCCTTCCTCATAGTCTTTAGATGGAAGCAACCCTGCAAGTACCTCAATGTTAGATATCTGGCCTCAAAAACAATGAGACTGGGGCTGGGAAGGTGGCTCAGTGGTAGAGCGCTTGCCTTGCATGCTTGAGGCTCTGGGTCCGATTCCTCAGCACCACATAAGCAAAAAGAAAAAAGCCGGAAGTGGTGCTGTGGCTCAGGTGGTAGAGCACTAGCCTTGAGCTGAAGAGCTGAGGGACAGTGCCTAGGCCCAGAGTTCAGGCCCACTACCGGACCCCCCCCAAAAAAAAAAAAACCAATGAGACTGGACTAGGAAGATGGCTTAATGATAGAGTGCTTGCCTAACATGCATGAAGACCTGGGTTCAATTCCTCAGTACCACATAAACAAAAAAGGTAGAAGTACCTCTGTGGTTCAAGTGGTAGAGAGCTAGACTTGAGCAAAAAGAAGCTCAGGAACAGTGCCCTGAGTTCAAGCCTCAGGACTGGCAAGAAAAAGAAACAACACAATGAGACATGTGAAGGGAGGTACAAGGAATTTCTTTTTTTTTTCTTTTTTTTGGGGGGGGGTCCGGATGTGGGGCTTGAACTCTGGGCCTGGGCGCTGTCCCTCAGCTCTTCAGCTCAAGGCTAGCGCTCTACCACTTGAGCCACAGTGCCACTTCTGGCTTTTTTTTTTTGCTTATGTGGTGCTGAGGAATCGAACCCAGGGCTTCATGCATGCAAGGCAAGCGCTGTACCACTGAGCCACCTTCCCAGCCCCAAGGAATTTCTGATGAGTAGATTTTCTACTCATTATTATGTGACATGTCCTTCTCATCAACTTTATTAATTTGTTGATGAGATCTTGCCTAACTGTACACATACTGTGTCCATACCTTGCAGAATTTTCTCCTCCTCCTCCAACGAAAAACTGGTTTCTGAATCATCATAGTAGTCTTCATCAGATGACCTCACAGCTTCTGAATGCTCGGGTTCTTCCTCACCACCACATACAATGTGCTCTGCCTCATTGCAATCCCCCTCTTCCATCCTGGTGGCTATGTCTTCAGGAAATCCAACAGATGCTTCATAGTCCTCTGCTCCTAAGTATAAAGAATCGTCTGGCTCCTCATATCTCTGTCCATCCCTTAAGTATGTAATAGTCACTGGAACTTCAGAGTCAGCTTTTCCAACGGGACATGGTAATGTGACATTTGGTGTCTGGCATTCCTTCCCATTCTCGGGGAAAAACTCAGAGGTCTCCAAACACGACTGTTGCTTCTCACTGGAGAATGCTGTGATCATGGGTTTCCCAGGCTCTTTCTTATCAGAGGAAATTGTATTTTCTGAATTTTTGTTTATCCCAATACACTGAGGTGCTATATTCTTATGCTGTAAAAACTCTGGGGAAAAAAAAAAAAAGACCTGTGAGCTGGGTATGTAATCCTAGCTACTCAGGAGGCTGAGATCTGAGGATCACCGTTCAAAGCCAGCCCAGGCAAGAAAGTCTGTGAGGCTCTTATCTCCAATAAACCACCAGAAAACCAGAAGTGGTACTGTGGCTCAAGAGGTAGGGCGCTAGCCTTGAATTGAAGAGCTGAGGGACAGCACCCAGGCCCAGAGTTCAAGCCCCATGACCAACAACAAAAAAAAAGTTTGCTTCCTCCCATAAAAAAAAAAAACTGAATCATGTTAAATTATACAAGACTCTAGGCATTTACACACAATGAGACCAAAGGAGGAAACTCTTAGAAGAGCAACACTAAGGCCCAATGCCTATGTGCATCTGAGTATATAAATTAATATTTATCAAAATGAACTCCAAGAAATGGAAACAATAGGTTTTTTTCTTTGTTGCTGTTTTTTTTTCTTGTCTTGTTTGTTCATTTATCTTGTCTTTGGGCAGGCAAAGGGACACGCAGAAATGGAGGAAGAAAGGTTGAACAAATGCAAGCAGTGATACTCACTAGACACTATGTTGAAAATGAACTATCTAGTAACTTGTGGGTGGGGACAAGGAGGAAAAACTGTGAGAGAGCAAAGGAAGGGGTGACACTGTCCAGAAAGAACTGTACTCTGTACCTGACGTCCTCTGTACCTGACGTATGTAACTGTCACCCTCTGCACACCACCTTTACAATAGCCACAAAAAGTTAAATATTTCCAAAAAAAAGAAAAATGGGATCATACTCTTGCCTTTAACAAAAGTTTGAACCTAGAGCTGGTGGCTCATGCCTGTACTCCTAGCTACTGAGATCTGAGCATGGCAGTCTGAAGCCTGCTCACACAGGAAAGTCCACGACTCATCTCCAGGAAGCCACTTGAAAACTGGAAGTGGCCCTGTGGCTCACAGTGGTAGAGTACTAGCCTTCAGCAAAAGGAGCTCAGGGACAACATCCAGTTCAAGCCCCATGACCAGAAAAAAGTGTGAGCCTCTCACATCATTCACAGGTAAATAATTAACACAGAAAATCTGAATGCTATGGACAAGGTATTTTTGTAGACGTAATATGACCCACAATTCGGATTTCCTGGGGCCATTGTTAATAAAATTTTATCTTTGGAAATTCTTAAAGGTCAGGCATAATGACACAATTCAAGGCCATTCTGGGCAAAAAGTCTGAAAGATCCTATTTCAACCAAAGAAGCTGTGTGGGGTAATATGTGCCTGTCACCCCAGTTACGTGGGAGGCATAAATAGCATGACTGGTCCAAGCCAGCCTATGCATGAATTCAAGACCCTACGAAAGAGTAAATAAAAGGCAAGCACAGTAGCTCACACCTATAATCCTAGGTAAAGATTAGGAGGATCTCAGTTTAAGGCCAGCTCAGACAAAAAGCTCGCAAGACCCCATGTCAATCAATAATGCCAGGTACGTGGGAAGTCCTGAGAGGAGGAACACCATCCAAGTTAGCCTAGGGATAAATTCAGGAGTTTCATTGTTTAAAGGGAAAAAAAGAAACTAGATCAAAACAGGCTGGGGGCATGGCTCAGATGGTTCTAAGCAGCGGACCCTGAATTCAAAACTCCAGAACCACTAAAAACTTGAAATTGGAAAAAAAAACAGTAATTCCTAATGAGTAAGCAGATTCCATAGTTACTGTCCCTCATCTTCTACTAGTTATTATTGCTATTGTTATGGTAGTAAAGCCATTATCGCTTTTTTTGAAGAAGCTATAATTTTTTTTCTTTTTGAGATAACGTCTTACTATTTCCCAGGGTGGCCTGGAACCCAGTACCATAGACCAGGCTAGCCTCATTCTCATGATCATCCTGCCTCTGTTTCTCCTGAAATGACTGCAGGCATAGTCCACTCAAGAAACTATCAATTTCTTTTTTGGTCGGTCATGAGATTTGAATTAGACATTATCTCTTAGCTCCTTTTGCTCAAGGTTAGCCCTCCAATACTTTGAGCCACAGTGCCACTTCTGGTTTTCTGGTGGTTAATGGGAGATAAGTCTCATGGACTTTTCTGCCTGGGCTGGCTTTGAACCATGATCCACAGATCTCAGCCTCTTGAGTAGCTAGGATTACATGTATGAGCCACCAGTACTCAGCCTATCAATTTTTTATTAGTATATATTAATTTTACAAAAAATGGGATTTTCATGATAACATATATATAATGTGTTTGTTCTTTTTTGTTGTGTTTTTTTTTCTTTTTTGGTGGTGGGCCTGAACTCTGGGCCTGGGCACTGTCCCTCAGCTCTTCAGCTCAAGGCTAGCACTCTACCACTTGAGCCACAGCTCAAGCCACTTTGGCTTTTTCTGCTTATGTGGTGCTAAGGAATAGAACCCAGAGCCTCATGCATGCAAGGCAAGCATTCTACCACTGAGCCACCTTCCCAGCCCCTATAATGTATTTTGATCATATTCACTCATCCCACTAATCTCTTTTGCTCCCCCACTATTTTCCCACTCTTCTCTTTCCTCTTCTTGAACAGTTCCCTTCCACTTTCATGTTTTGTTTTGTTTTTGCCATAGCAGTGTTTGAACTCGGTGTCGTATATCTGGTAGGCAGTGTTCTACCCCTTGAGTCACAACCCTAGCCCTTTGTTTCTTCTTGGATCGGATCTATTGTTTCTTTATGAGGCTGGCCTCAGATCACTACCATCTTACTACACTTCCCTGTAGCTGGGGCCACAAGTGCATGCCACCATACTTGGGCTTGTTGGGTGAGATGGGTTTCACTGACTTTCTTGCCCCAGCTGCACTGAAATGCCGTCCTCTCAGTGTTTGCCTCCCAAGTAACTGGGATAATTAGTATTACATGGCTAAATGATATTCTACCTTCCGTCTTTCCGCGTGTGTGTGTGTGTGTGTGTGTGTGTGTGCGCGCGCGCGCGTGCGCGCGCGCGCATGCGTGCACTGGTACTTGGCTTGAACTTGGCTTCCTGCTCTCAGACTGGTATGGTTGTTCAAGGCTGGTGTTCTACCATGTCATACTTCCACTTCTGGCTTTTTGCTGGTTAATCATAGATAACTGTTTCATGGATTTTTCAGCCTGGGCTGGCTTTGAATCTTATTCCTCACATCTCAGCCTCCTGAGTAAACTTGGGTTACAGATGTGAGCACTGAAGCCCAGCACTGCAAACTTTATCCATTCATCTGTTGTTATCAATACCACCTAAACTGATTCTGTATCTAGAACTTGTGAACATTGCTAAAATAAACAGGCAGAAAAGTCCAAATGAGGCTTTTATCTCCATTTAACCACCAGAAAACCGGAAGTTGAGCTGTGACTCAAAGCAGCAGAACACTTGCCTTGAGCAAAAAAGCTCAGATTCAGCACCCAGTCCCTGAGTTCAAAGCCCACAACCGACAATAATAATAGTAATAGTAATAATGGACTGGGAAGATGACTCAGAGGTAGAGTGCTTGCCTCATTAGCATAAGCATGAGCGCCACCTCAACACCGCCTAAACAGAAACAGAAACAGAGAAAGCCAGAAGGGGCTCTGTGGCTCAAGAGGTAGAGCGCTGACTTTCAGCTGAAGAGCTCAGGGACAGTACCCAGGCAGAGAGTTCAAGCCCCACGACCAACAACAATAACAACAACAATAATAATAGCATATGAAATATATAATCACATTCCCAAAAAGTAGCATTAATTGTAATGGAACAACTAAGTTGCAGGAAACAAGTTCTGCTGGCATTCTTTTTTTTTTGGGGGGGGGGGTCGGTGTCTGGTCGTGGGGCCTGAACTCTGGGCCTGGGCGCTGTCCCTCAGCTCTTCAGCTCAAGGCTAGCACTCTACCACTTGAGCCACAGCGCCACTTCCGGCTTTTTTCTTTTTTGCTTATGTGGTGCTGAGGAATCGAACCCAGGGCCTCAGGCATTCAAGGCAAGCTCTCTACCACTGAGCCACCTTCGTCGCAGCCCCATCTACTGGGATTCTTAGCATGCAGAAAATGAAGTTTCTGATCTGCCCTTTAGGGATATTAAAAAGATTCCTGTATTTTCCTACTGGCTATCCTACGTGAAAGACACTTTGTAGTCTTGGCATTGTTACCATGTATGAAGTAACTGGAAAAGGCAGCCCTCAGAGGGTGCCCCCACAGTGTTCCTTCCTTTCCAGCTGTGAAATTCAGGACCGCACTGCCAAAACTATGAGTGCCTTATGGTAACACAAAAACAATGGAAAATTTTGGTCCAGTCTGAAGGGACAAATCACCATCTTCTACACCAACAAGACATATTGTTTCTTGCTTCTTCAATTCATAACATACCCCTTACCTCATATTTCAGCGAAAATTATCTCTGAGAGAAAACAAATGAAAATAGTCATTTTTATAAGAAGAACCTGATAAAACATGTTCTTTTTTAAATCTTTGTATCAGAAAATCTACCTCCTCTCTCTTAACTCCAAAGTATAAAAGTTTAACTTACCAAGTTTTAAGTCCCAAGAGGGAGCTGACTCTGGAAATGTGTTAAATAAACATCTGAGGAAACGCTGGCAGCACATCTCTCCCTTCTTCTGAACCAAAATTAAGAGTTTCCGACTTTTCTTCAGGGGATCTGTAACTCTGTCCAGAGTCTCATACTCCTCCCCAGAAATCACACTCCGAGAGATCAACGCATCTAAGACAGAATCGGGATCTTGCTGGAGGATCACCAGCAACTTTTTCCGTTGTCCTTCTATGATCTCCCAGGCAGTCATCTCCGTGGCCATTGTTTCCATTTCCTCCAGACCAGGAAGTGGGTTAAAAAGTGATTTGGACGGACAGATAAACAAAGTTATTAAAAACAACAACAGAGTAATCTTATTCTGGGGAAAGATAAAATGTGTCAATGTCCTGGACACAAACAGGCATTGTAGGGGCTTCTCCTCCAGAGCACTCAGACCCTGGCTTCCTGTGTATTACTTCCTGCTATGTGTGGGTGTGGCAGCTCTAAGGCTTCCTCATAAGCTTTGTGACTGTCTCACCCCCAGTCCCACCTACTCTGGATGGCTAAATTGTTTTCATCAATATTCAGCCTGTTAACTCCTTAAGAAGCAGCTCTAGAACTTCAGGCTGTAGTAGGTACTCTCTGCTCTGAGCACTATACTGAGATTACTGATTTACTAAGAACTGAGTAAATTTTGGAGAGCAATCTGACCAGATGCAGCATTAAGTAAGGGAGTGAGCTACAATGCTCAATAGGAAATTATTCATTACCATGCTCATATAACTGTAACCCCTCTGTACAGTATTTTTACAATAAAAAATACCCCCCCCAAAAATAAACAAAAAAACAGGATGGACTTCTCGTTATATATGCTGAGGCATGATTTGGGCCACATAGCCCCATATGCTAACATTAGTCTCCAGAATTTCATTCTGGCTGTCTTGGATGTATTTAAAAAAAAGAAAGGAAGAAAGAAAGAAAAAGAAAGGAAGGAAGAAAGAAAGAAAGAAAGATCATACTTGCTAGTCAGACCTGAGTTCAAGCCCCACTCCAGAAAGAAAAGAAAAGAAGGAAGGAAGGAAGAGAGAGAAAACTCAATAGAGCAATTCCACTTTGGGAAATTATCTTAAGGAAATAAGTAAATGAACCCAAGCATACACATACAAAAACTCTGTATTACAGCTTATTTGTAATGGCAGAAAGTCAAAGATACCCTAAATTCCTATACGGGAGAATTTGTGGAATATTACATGAAGAGTGAAACAAATCTCTTCAAACTGACAAATAATAACACTCATAATATATTGTTATGGAAAAACAGTAAGCTATCTGATTTTTAAAAGTGTAACAGGTATATAGCATATATACGTGCAAATGTGTATTATATTCAGAAAAAATATCCCAAATTTTTAACATGGTTATCCTTAAGGATATGATTACAGAAGAATTTATACTTTCACTTTTTGGGGTGTGTGTGCTGGGTTTGAACTCAATGCCTTAAATCTGCTAGGCAGCACTCATCAATTGAGCCGTACCTCCAGCACCCAGGATTTATACTTTCTATTTTAAACATTTTTTTTTGAATTTGGGTTTTTGTTGTTGTTAGTCATGGGGCTTGAAGTCAAGTCTTAGGCACTGTCTCTACCTTTAGTCACAGACCCACTTCTAGTTCTTAGTTGGTTAACTAAAGATAAGGATCTCACAGACTTTCCTGCTCAGGATGGCTTTGAACCCCATCCTTAGATCTCAGCCTCCTGAGTAGCTAAGCATGAACCACCAGAGCCCACCAGATGAATTTTTTTTTAATCAGCTGTGGGGCTTGAACACAGGGCCTGAGCGCTGTCCCTGAGCTCTTTCACTCAAGGCTAGCCACTCTACCACTTTAAGCCAGAGCACCACTTCAAATTTTCTGGTAGTGGGCTGGGAAGGTGGCGCAGTGGTAGAGCACTTGCCTTGCATGCCTGAGGCCCTGGGTTTGATTCCTCAGCACCACATAAGAAAAAAGAAAAAAGCCGGAAGTGGCGCTGTGGCTTAAGTGGTAGAGCGCTAGCCTTGAGCTGAAGAGCTGAGGGACAGCACCCAGGCCCAGAGTTCAGGCCCCACCACTGGACCCAAAAAAAAAAAAAAAAAATTCTGGTAGTTAATTGGAGAGAAGAGTCTCAGGGGCTTTCCTTCCTAGGCTGGCTTTGAATCATGATACCCAGATTTCAACCTCCTAAGTAGCTAGGAGTGCAGCACCCCGCCGAATTTGGGGGTTTTGGTCCAGGTTTTGACACAGCTTAGGCTGTTCTTCTACCTCAGCCTCCCAAATGCTAGGATTACAGGTATGCATCACCATAGCTGGTCTAACTTTAAGCTTTCAAAGTAGTGTTTATTTTTTGGGGGGGAGGGGGTCCAGTCATGGGGCCTGAACTTTGGGCCTGGGCACTGTCCCTCAGCACTTCAGCTCAAGGCTAGCGCTCTACCAGTTGAGCCACAATGCCACTTCCGGCCTTTTTCTCTTTGCTTATGTGGTGCTAAGGAATTGAACCCAGGGCCTCAGGCATGCAAGGCAAGGGCTCCACCACTGAGCCACCTTTCCAGCCCTCAAAGTTGTGTTTATTAACATGCTTTTTCTCATTTTGATTTCTCAAAAAAATTATTTAATTGGTCTTTATTTACAATTATATAGTTCACAAGAGCCTAAAACCAATCTAAAAAATTGTCAACAGGATGCATAAATCTTAGTCAACAAGATCTAAGCAGCATTCAAAATGAATGAATTTCAGCAACCTATCATATAGAAAAATTGCAAAAATATTGAGGGAAAATGCTGAGTCCCCAAAAAGATCTCATCATGACATCCTTTTAAACACACCCCCCCCGCGCGTGCGCACGCGCACACGCGCGCACACACACACACACACACACACACACACGTAACAATATAAAAAGCATAGTAGTAAGTGGTAAAACTAGCCCCAGCAATGAGGCTGAGCACTAAGATTAATTGCATAAGCCTGAGAGTTGGAGGCCAGTCTAGACAACAAAGCAGGCCCTGCCTCAGAAGAAAAAAGAACAACAAAACTTATATAAAACTTGAGGGGCGGAGACAAATAATGAATGTGAAATTCAGAAGAATGATTATCTGAGGTAGGGAGGGAAAGGAAGGGGTGGAATTAGCAGAAGGGGAAACTATAAAGTTAGATGTAGGATATGCTCAGGGAATGGATTTATAAGTGCTTATTATTAAAGATAAATAGTTAATATACAAAGAAAGCTTGCCAGGTGCTGGTGGCTCGTGCCTGTAATATTGTCAGGAGGCTGAGATCTGAGGATCACAGTTCGAAGCCATCTTAGGTAGGAGAGTCTATGAGACTCTTATGTCCAACTAACCTCAGAAACCTCCGAAATAGAGCTGTGGCTCCAAGTGGTAGAGCACTAGCCTTGAGCAAAAGAGCTCAGGGATAGCACCCAGACCCTTAGTCAAGCCCCACAAAAAAAAGAAAGAGAAAGAAAAGAAGGAAGGAAGGAAGGGAGGGAGGGAGGGAGGGAGGAAGGAAGGAAGGAAGGAAGGAAGGAAGGAAGGAAGGAAGCCAGTGGCTCACGCCTGTCATCCTAGCTACTCAGGAGGCCAAGATCTGACTGAGGATCATAGTTCAAAGCCAGGCTGGGCAGAAAAGTCCGTGAGACTTATCTCCAAAAAACCACTAGAAAACTGGAAGTGGCACTGTAGCTCAAGCGGTAGAGCGCTTTCCTTGAGCTGAAGAGTGCAGGGAGAGTGCCCAAACCCAGAGTTCAAGCCCCATGACAGACGAGAGAGAAAAAAAAAAAAGGAAGGAAGGAAGTAGGTAGAGGGAGCAATAAAACAAAAAGTTCATTTAACTTCTAGAATCTAAAAGAGGGACTATAACAGATTTGCTCCTAGAGATTCCAAGAAAAAGGCTGTTATGCCAACTTTTCCATTTAGTTTTGTGGTCCTGGGGAATCAAACCCGGAGCCTCTGACACTCATATACATTAACAGTGAGCACATGCTCCACCTCAGAGGTAGGTACTCCTTGAGCCCTACCAGGAAGATCCTTCTAGTGCATCTGATCAGAAGAATCCTTACAAAGGTTTTTTGTTGTGGTAAAAATCCTAGCCATTTTAGGAGGCTGAGATTTGAGCATCATAATTAGAAGCCAGCTAGGGCAAAACAAGTCTGTGAGACTCTATCATCAATTAATCAACAAAACAGTTGACCAGAGCTATGCCTCAAATGAGACTGCTAGCTGTGGAGCCAGAGCTTGAATACACACACACACACACACACACACACACACGGAACACTTACCCTCAGATCCACTCTCAACAGATTTTAAGTGTGCAATACAATATTGTTGACTATAGGCATAATATTGTACTTCGGATATCTAGAACTTAGTTTCATAAGTGAAACTTTCTACTTTGGGACTAGTATTGTTTTATGTAACCAAGTTTGTAGCAACTAGTCAAAGTAGAAAAATACAAGAGATAACCCAGCTGATGTACAGTTTGGTGCAATCACTCAACGTCCGGTCACTTTCTTGTCTAGCCTCTGCTCCTCCTTCCTCCCACTTGCCTGTTTCCGAACTTGTTTGTAAACCTTCCCCTAAAGGAGACCCTATTACTTGTCGGGCACTAATGGTTAATCCGAGAAAACGGAACCTCTGGTTCCCAGTGTCCGTCTTACTCTGCTACCTATCATTTTTCTAAAATTTAGCTTGTGAGATTGCGAGAAGTGTTTGCTTTAGAAAGTGTGAAGATTATATGATTGGGACTTTTTCTCCTGTTTATTTTTAAATGCCTGGGGGTTGTTTTTTTGCGAGTTTGGGTCTTTTTTCTGAGATAAAAGCAATGGCATTTATCAAGGTGATCTAAGAATGATCCATCTCAGCCTACCCAGCCCCGCAGAATGGATCTGATGGCACTCGGTGAGGGAAACTTATTTACAAGGTCCACAGGGCAGGATGAATGGCAAGGTCAAACGTGCCTAACACGGTGAGGGTCGCCAGCAGCCTACGTCCCGAAGGGAGGACGAACCTGGCCCGGAACGGGATTCCAGTCCCAATCTGTAATGAGACCAATGCCTGGGGCGCCGAATCCACGGCGAAGAGCGACCTTACTTACTCCCCCGGATCCAGCAGACTGGCGAGCCGGGGTGACACGCCCACTCCCTGACGTACTAGCTGACAGCCACGCCCCCTGCCGGATTCTGAAACTCGATTGGCTAGGCCTGCCTCAGCCGCCACCTCTTGACCCGACCCATAATGTGGACGACGGACAGTTAAGGAGGTTGCACCGCATCTTCAGGAAGTAGTTCCCTGGGCGGAAGCGTCTGAGGGAGGTATAGCGGAAGTGCTTTCTCTTCCGGCCTCTTTGGTCTCGGCGGCAGAGGCAAGATGGTGAGTCGTTGGCCGGGGTCCCTTGGAATCGCTTTCCATCCTCGGCG